GGTGAGCGCGCGCCGGCCGGGCCCGGGGCGGGGATCTCCGCCCGCCCAGCCTGGACAGCCCTGCTGCCCGGTGGGCGCCCCCTCGCGACCCTTCATCCTTCCCGCCCCTCTCGAAACTCTGGTCCCCCCTCAGCAGTCGCCTCCTGGTTTTTCCTCTGTCTCCACGTCTGTGTCTACCCCCACCTCCCACTTCACGGAGGGAGACTCTGTCTCTCCTTGACCTTCCGGCGGAGATGGGTGCTGGGCCGCCCTCCCCCGCAGCTCCCGGAGTGGGCAGGGAGGGCTGATCGTCCCTGGACAGAGGGCACAAGGTCTGCGCCCAGGAGAGGGGGCCTGGGGCCAGCCCCACTAGCACGGGTTGGGTGGCGTGGGCTGACACAGTGTTGGCGTCTTGGGCCGGAAGGAAGGGAAAGGAAGGGGCATTTTCTGGAGCTCTCTCCCCTCCTGCTTCTCTCCCCACTTTTCTCTCCCTCCTTCCACCTCACTTCCCACCCCGCCATAGCTGTGACTCAGGCCTGACCTTCTTTCCTTGGGGTTTCAGAAGGCCTCCCCCACTCACTCCACTCAATACCCACCCCCACCACCAACCCCATGAAGGACAGATTCTCCCCCTGGGCAGGAAGGGGCCTGAAGGGGGGGGGGGGTCACAGATTCGTTGTTGCTGAGGCCAGGACAGGTGCTAGCTGAGTTCTGAGAGCTTTGTGTGCAGTGAGGTCTATAGGACCCAGTGTCCCTTCCTCAGCTGTGATGCGGACTTGGATTCTGTGTCCTGACCCTGGAACCCTTACTCACACCTCCACACTCCCATGCCCCAGCCACCTCTCTGCCCTGTGCCCTGCGCCCTCCTCACTCACCCAGGTTCTTGCTCCCTTGGCCGTCTGGGCTGCTGACACGGTGTGCGACAGGCTGGTATTTAGGAAGTGACAGTAGAGAGATGTCCCCATGCCGGGGTGGGCCAGGTGGATGCTTCCCCCTCCTAGACCTCAGGGTCAGGTGATGAGGGCTTCCTTGGCAGTCCGCAGCACCTCTTGCCCCCTTTCCCCCACCACTTAGCCCACCCCCTCTCAGACTCTGGTAGGGCAGAACTGGGGCTGGAACCCTGGCCTCAGCTACTGTGCTGCCTCCACGATGTGGAGGCTCTCAGCCTGGGTCCTGCATGCTGCAGGGGCAGGGCCTAGGCCTCCTGGGCTTGCAGCCCCTCATGCTGGGCGAGGGGGAGAGGACAGGGCGTGTCCTCGACCAGGGTGGGGCAGCAGGAGCTGAGGGCCACAATGGTGTAGAGGGGGTGGCTGGGGCAGCCTGGCTGACATGTTCACCTAGAACCCACTTCATCCTCAGGGGACAGAGAAGCAGGTCTGGTTATGCCTCAGGAAGAGCTGGCCCACCCCTGATGTGCTGTGTGGCCTGGACCAATCCTTTCCCCTCTCAGGGTTTCAGGCTCCCATGTGCCCTGATTTCCTTTTCTCCTCTGGGGAGACCTGGAGCCCCACTCGAGCTCATGTATAGGTGTATTCTGAACCCCTGCCCTCCCCCAAAACCTCAAATTTAATTCTGCCATGTCAAGGTTGATGGTCAAGGAAAGCTTCTCTGAGGGCTTAGAGGGGAGCTGGAGTCTGTCCCTGGAGAAATTTTTTTTTTTTTTGTGAGGAAGATCAGCCCTGAGCTAACATCCATGCCAATCCTCCTCTTTTTGCTGAGGAAGACTGGCCCGGAGCTAACATCTATTGCCAATCCTCCTCCCTTTTTTCTCCCTTTCTCCCCAAAGCCCCAGTAGATAGTTGTATGTCATAGTTGCACATCCTTCTAGTTGCTGTATGTGGGATACCACCTCAGCATGGCTGGACAAGCAGTGCGTCGGTGTGCCCCCGGGATCCCAACCCGGGCCGCCAGTAGCGGAGCACGAGCACGTAACCACTAAGCCATGGGGCCGGCCCCTCTGGAGAAATTTTTGCAAAGGCCGGGAGGCATGGAAATTACTCAGGTGTTTGGGAGAGCTGGCTGGTGGGTGCTTGCCAGAGATGAGACCACAGGAGCAGGCAGCTGCGGAGTGGGCAGGGCATGGAGGGTCAGCTCAGGTGGACACTAGGAGGCTTTCAGACCCTGCCACACTGCACCCAACCCACGCCCACCCCAGGTGTCCCACCTCCAGTGTCCTTCATGAACCAGCCATTTGAGGGCCCGGTCCCAAAAGGAGTGTCAGACAGAGCTAGGAGAAAATCATGGGTTTGGGGCACTGAAGGCAGCTGGGCTGAAGGCTGGGTCTGGCTGTCTGTGGGGCAGGCTCAGTCAGACGCTGTCACAGCTGGGTGAGGGCTGGGTGTCCTGGTAGCCAGGGAGGTGGCTGCCCAAGGTCACACAGCCTTTGGTGCTGGGCTGCTACTAGGAAGTCTCTTGGCTCCCTCCTCCCCTCTTCTGTCTGTCCTCCCTGCCTGTGCTGGCAGCCATGTCCCAGGACCCAGCAGAAGCCTCTGCTGCAGGAGGGGAGTTAGGTAGGCAGATAAAGAAAGCTTCCTGGAGGAGGAGGAGGGATTCTGGTGGGGTTTGAAGAATGAGTAGGAGTTATGGGAGGAAAGGATGTTGTCAGCAGAAGGAGCAGCACAAGCAAGGTTCAGGAGCCTGAGAAGCTCACAGAGCATGTGTTGGAGAGGACACTCCACTTGGAGGGTCCAGGAGAGTGGACTCCAGGAAGGGGAGAGGCAGGAGCCTTTGGAAAACAAGGTGGCCCTAGTTACATGTGACCCCATTAGAGTTTCCTGACCTGCTCTGGGAAATAGCCAGGTTGGGGCCACAGGTTGTGCTTGGCAGGGGAAACTAGATGTGTGAGGTCAATCACAGGGGAGAAGGGAGGCCCAGAGAGGTTGAAAGAGCTGCCCAGGGCCACACAGCAAGATTGTGGTGGCCTTTGATGAGGAGGGCCTTGGCAGATGGGAGAGCAGGAGACTGGGAGGGCTGCTTCTCACCACTCTTTCCCCACAGGACACTGACAGAACTTCTGAAGCAGCCAGGCCCCCAGGAGCCACTGCCTCCGCCTCTGGGCCCCCCTCTGGGGAGCTGTGTCCAGGTGCAGATGGGTGACAGCCTTCCCCGGGGCTCCCCCCACAACAGCACAGGTGAGTGGCTGCTGGGCGGGCATTTGTTGATCTACAGCACGGGGTCCCCCAGGTCTGACTTGGGCCTGGGAGCTGGGGAAGGTGTCCTGAGGAGTAAGAGTTGGTCACCTCGGCGGGGGAGTGGAGGCTGTTTCCCAAGGGGAAATGAGCTGCCCACCTCTGCAGGTGTGCAAGTAGGGGCTGGGTAAGCAGGTCAGCTTCCCTTGGTGGAGAGGGACCCTCCGAGGGGTCTTGCAACCTCTAGCCTCAGGAACTCTGTCAGGAAGTCTCCAGATTCAGAGATCTCTGGCTCAGGCTGTGGTACTAGGCTCTGGCTCCGAGCCCTGGGGTCTGCCTGGCCTCCTGTGCATGGAGGAGCTTCCAGGATGGAGCCTCACTCTTGGCCTCTTGCTGGCCAGGCAGGCTTGACAGCAAGCCTCCTCCATCTCCACGGAAAGCAGGTCCTGGGTCAAGCGGCAAACATGCAGGCGAGCCATGGTCCATTGGGTTAGCACCCACTCAGGGCTGGCAGCTAGTGTTCATGTTATTCTGAGCCAGGCCCTGGCCCAGGCGCTGGAGCTTCTGCCATGAAGACAGGTTCTGCGCTCAGTCTCGCCCAAACGGCCATCCCACAAGTTCCCATTGAACTGCAGTTGGGGAGACGGCTGCGAAGAGGTGGTGCAGGTGCAGGGCGTCCTCCGGTCGGCGGGCCGAGTCTCATCTTACGTCCCCCTTCCCACCTCCAGACAAGAAACGCCCCAACAACGCGCCGCTGGGGTCGGCGACACCCGGACCCCCGCGCGGCCCCCGGCTGCAGGGCGGCGGCAGCATGACGCTGCAGCCCGACTACGCCAAGTACGCCACCCTCAAGGCCGCCGCGCTCAAGGCCGCAGGTGAGTGGCCGGGTTTGTGCCTGAAGCGCCGCGTCCACTGCACCCTAGGTATCCACGTTCCTAGACTGCAAGGCTCCGGGGTCCCAGTTCTGAGTTCCAAAGTTCCCAGCCCGGCGGGTCAGCGCTCCAGCCAGCTTCTGTATCGCGCCTTGCAGCCAACCGGCTCCCAAACCTCGGCCGTACCGCACGCCTGACCAGGCGCCTGGCTGGGACTCCACTGCGCCGCCAGAGCCCAGGGCGCCGAAAGCCGGGTCTCCCGCGGCCTGTCCCCGCCCTGTCCTGACTCGCGGGCGCTGAGGCCCCGCCCCTGAGACCTGGCCTCGCCCACCTGTGGGGGCAGGCGCTGGGGCCCTGCCCCGACTTCCGCCCCGCCCAGTCCCCGCCTCCCGTGGCCTGACCACGCCCCGACTCGCCCCGCCCTGTCCCCCGCAGAGGCCTCCCCGCAGGACTTCTACCAGCGGTTCCCCGCGATCGAGCCCGCCCCAGTGACCCTCCCGGCACCGGCCCCGCGGCCTCCTGAGGACTTGTCAGCGCTGCTCAACGCCTGCCCCTGGGCCCCGCCGGGCTACGCGCCCCCTGCCGGCCCCGCCCCGTCGGGCCACTACAAGGGCTGGACCGCTGGCCGCCCGGCCCGGCCCGGCCCCCGCGGCCGCCTGGCGGCTCAGGCCTGCCACGCGCCCCGGCACCAGTTCAGCGTGGAGAAGCTGCCCGAAGGCTTCAGCCCGCAGCCCCCCGGCCTTTACAGCAGCGCGGGCCGCGGACCCCGGCACCTGAGCACCAACAGCAAAGCGGAGGTCACCGTGTGAAGACGGGGCCGCTGGTTCTCCCGAGGCATCGCATCGCTGGGAGCCCTCGTCTGCCGGGAGTCGCCATCGGGTCGGTCGAGGGGCCCAGGCCACGGGCCTGGCGGGGGCCTGGGAGGGGCGCCGGCCGCGGAAGGCTAGCTCTTCCATCTGCCCAAAGTGGACTGGGGGCCTTGGAGCCTGCAGGGCTAAGAAGGGGCCCACTGGGTAAGGCCAGTGGTTCTGTTCTGGGGGCACCCCCAGGCCGGAGTTCCTCGTGTAAATACACCCTTTCCTGTGGCTCCCACCCCAGAGAATAAAAGAGCCCCAGCTTGGCTCTGAGAGGCGCTGATGGCGGAGGCATTGGTCATTGACTGGACAGACGGCAGTGTGGGCAGAGGGCACAGCATGTGCAAGAGCAGAGGACTGCTCCTGGGAGCTGGCAGGCCTGTTCTGGGAGCCAGGAAGAAGTGGCTGGAGAGGGTGATCAGGGCTGAATGCCAGACTTAATGTCCATAGCAGTGGGAGCCATGGGAGAGGGGGCAGTTAGGCTCCAGTCACCTTGAGGCTCAGGCACAGGGGAGAGGGCTATTTGAACCCTGAGGCCCCCTGGAAGGTCAATGCCCCTTACTGGAGGTGAGCCCCCTCCAGCTGGTCACCGGCTCTACAGCTTGAGTTGGCTTGAGCCTGGCTGATCCTCATTGACATAGTTTGGCCCTGAGCCGGCCCCTGGTCTGCAGGCCACTTGGCCAGCTTGGCCTAGGGCCACCCCCCTAATGGGTGTGGGCAGTGGGCCGGGCAGACAGCTGGTGCTCAGGATGGGGGAGCCTCCTCCCAGTAGCTGCTCTGGGGGAAAAGGGGATGGGGAGGCTGACCCAGAGCCTTGGCAGTGCCCGCACCAGGGTGCTCACACCACACAGGGTTGGCACTGCCAGCTCCCAGTGGCAGCTCCTTTCCTGCCAGGCAGGCTCCCAATGCCTGGCTGTGGCCCAGGGCATTGCCAGCAGCCTGCATGCATCAGGTTCCTCTGTGCCAGGTACTGCTGGGGAGGTTGAGGGCTGGGCTGTGCCCCTCGTTGACAACAAAGCCACCCAGCTGGGCCTCAATTGCTCTGTGTACCCTAGGTATGGTATACTGTTTTAATAACCATGGCCACCATTTGTTGCTGTTTTTTTCCATTTAATCCTCACAAAAACCCAGGGGTGTGTGGCTTTACAGATGATGACACTGAGGTTTTGAGACCTAAGAAACTTGCCAAGGCCACCCAGCTGACCCCAGTTTAGGACTGTATTCTGCCACCCCTGTGACTCTGATGGTGGAATGGCAGGCAGCTAGGGGAGAAAGGAAAGTTATGAACATGTGTGTTGGCAGGGAGGGGCCCCTGCTCCCAGGCTGCAGGCAGTATCAGACCCTCCTCCTGCTGGCTGGGCTGCCCTGAGTCCCTCAAACTCACCAGCTCTTCACCTGTAGGAGGGTCCACCTCCCTGTGTCTTAAGGAAACCAAGGGCCAGAAGCCCACAGTTCTGCCTGCAGTGAGGGCCCCCATGGCTTGTAGGGGAGACAGCCCTCACACCCTCAACCCAGGGTGGGGGGAGGGTGCTCCCAGGGCCCATCCCGCAGCTGTGTAGATCCGGGGGAGGCGGGGGTGGGTGCTGAGTCATGGAGCCTGCCAAGACACACAAAAGAATCAGGTTCCTGGATACACTGGCCACTCACAGCCACCCACCCTGGTGACGCAGGCCCCCGCTGGGCTGTGCCAGGAGGTAGGTGCAACCTCTCTGCTCATTCTCACTCCCAAGGGTCCTGGATCTCCATCCCAGGGAGCCAGGCTGAGGCCATGGGCGTGACCACCTCGGGGAATGCTGCTGTAATAACTGGACAGGGACCAGCTGCAGCTGGGCCCCTCCTGGCTGCTCTGGCCCTGTGGCCTGCTGTCACTGCCCTTTAAAGGGAGTGGCTCAGATGCTAAAGGGACTCACCCATTTCTCAGCTGGGCGGGAACATGCACTTCAGCCCCCAGGCTCATTCCCACGTGGCACTCCTGAGCACCTCTCTACAAGGCCCAGCACCCTCCCATCCCCACTCCTGTGGTCTGGCCCTCACCAGCCTCACAAGGCACTCACCGTAAACTGGCACTTCATGTGTGTTGAATCATTCAAACCGGTCAACAAACCTATGGGGACTCTAGTCAAAGGCAGGGATTGTCATCCCCATTCTGCACACGTGGAAGTGGAGGCTGAGGTGACATCCTGTCTAAGGTGATCCACCTGGGAAGTCCAGAAGCTGGACTTGGATGTGACTTTGGCACCAGTGAGTCTCCTCAGAGGCTCCCTGCCTCCAGGGAGGATGGTGACACTAAGGGGCAGTGCACTCGATAGGGAAGAAATGGATCTCTGAGGGTGAACACAGAAGAGCTTAGCACCGCAAATCCCAGAGAACTGCCTCTGTCACCCAAACAACCAGCTCCACGTACTGGCTACGGGGACCTCTGACCCCAGCAAAACCAACAGCCCTTTTATCCCAGGCCCTGTCCCAGCCCCGGACTGTGTGCCAGGCAGCCGGCGCTGGAAGGAAGGGGCCAGGTTGCGAGGGCAAGCAGGGATCTGAGTGCAGCCCCCAGGGGCCTCTCAGAGGAGAGGGAAGGCTGTCCTCAGTCCCTGACCCACTGGAGGCCAAGCCATGCAGCCACCTGGCAAGTTACCACAGCAGTCACACTACAGACCCTAACACACCTCACGCTGGGTGGTACCAATCTGTGTTTATTGAATAACCTACATCTGGGACACAGTGAATGATTCCACATCAAAGAAGCCAGAGGCGTGTATCCCCCTTTTCAGTGAAAACCCACCCCCTCCCACCCCTAAACAATGACGAGAAAAGGCACAGTATATACACATGACACAGGGCTGGCTCACCAGATGGGCAGGGGCCATAAATTACAGTGAGGGGGAGGGGCAGCAGAAAGAAAACGAGTGAGGTCCAAGCTGTGTTTCCGCCAGCACTCAGCATCAGGGGAGCCCCTGCTGTGTGCAACCCCCACCCCCTGGGGTGGGGGCCCTGCCCACTCTCTGTCCCAACCAGCCTGAGTGGGTGAGAAGCACAGGAAGGGAGGGAGGGCAGCCCCTTTCAGTCTCCCAGCAGGCTCTGGGGTCCCAGGCAATCCTCAGCCCCAAGAGAAATGGCCTCAGGGGAGGCACTGAGCCAGGGGATCCAGAAAACTGGGACCACTTTTCCTCCCAGGCCCCCCATCAAGGCAGGGGGCCTCATTCCTAGTGCCCACCTTGGGCAACCTTGTGCCCACCCTGAAAAAGGGCTTCTCACTGGGGAGGGGTTGGGGGCTGGTCCCTGCCACTCCAGCTTATTTTCAGGTCAAGAATTAGGGATAAAAATAGACTATGGAGGTAGGAGTTGGGGTGGGAGGGAACTGAGGACCCACGCTGAAGGCCCCTGGTCCCCAGTCCCAGCGGGTGGCTTCATCTCTCCCAGCCCCCTGGGCCTACCCTGAGCTTGGGCTGACATCCCAGGGGGGCGGGGGAGTGGGAAGGAACAGGACAATTAAATAAGATACCATTTATTTTTTAAAAAATTAAAAAATAATGCCGACATTATTTCATCCATTCCCAGGCCTGCCCCCTGCTTCCCACCCGCCTCCCCAGGGCTGGGCTCCTCTCCTTCCCTAGCTGTCCTGTGTAATAAAGAGAAAACAATGCACTGGCTTTGTCAGGCACAGGGGAGGGGACGCAGACCCAGGGAGAGAAATAAAGATGCCACAGCAACTTAGCCCTGCAGCACGGCAAACCCAAGCACACGCATATAAAAACATTCGTATAAAAAGTGGGGGGGGCATGCTGGGCACAGTGCCAAGGGTGAAGCGCTCTAGTGCCCAGAGACCGATGTCCCTCAGAGGGAAAGCCTGATAAAAAACAAGGAAGCAGGAAAAGGGGGAGAGACATTCAAAGGAGAGAAAACCTTGGAGGGCTGGAGGCAGAGGTTGGGCAGCTTGGCAGCTCCCCCTGCTGCTTTCAAGTCAGGGTACCCCCAATTCCTGCCCCACCTGTCTTTCCTCTCTCAGGCCCACCGTGCCCTGCACCACGGGCATCTATCCACAGCACTTTAAGGGGCTCTGCTCAGGGGCCCACTGGCCTGAGATGGTCCAAAAGCCTCGGCAGGCAACAGCTCAGAAGATAAGGCTCATGCCACAGCTCCCAAAGGGAAGAGGGAGAGAGAGACTGAGAGACAGAGGGAGGAGGGGGAGAGAGGCTGCGAGAGAGGGAGGCAGTGGGCTGAGGCGGGCAGAGCCCAGTTGTCAGGAGGCGGCGATGGCAGTGCCGCCCCCCAGCTTGACAATCATCTGCTGGCAGTCGTTGCAGGAGCGACGGTCGCCCACCTTCTCCAGGGTACGGGCTGCCTCGGCCAGCAGCACTGCCCGCTGGCCCGGGGAGGAGAGGAAGGAGAGGGGAAGGTGGCGGCAGGCCAGCAGGATGGCGGTGGCCCGCTCTCGCTGGCCGGGCCAGGTGTCCACCTCTCCTGTGGGAATGATGAGATACAGGTAGGAACTAGCTGCTGAGGGCCCGCTAGGCTGCAGGTGCTGTTCCAGGGGCTTGATGTGGACTCATTTATTTAATCCTCACACCCACCCAGGGAGATAGGTGCTAATGTCCTCCCAAGTTCACAGACGAGAGGACATGAACTTGGCTGCATCACAAGGCTACTGCTCTGCAGTGGGAGCTGAGATGCAGTCTGGCTCTGGGGCCCACGCTTCTACCCCGGCTCCTGCACTGGGACAACATCCCCAGCCCTCTCCTCCCCACTCCTGAGGCTGGACCCACAACCACCCGACCAACGCCCACCCCCAGCCCTGCAACACACCAAATTAGGCCTTGGACATTTTATTCTCACACCACCTCTGAGAACACTGCAGATGTGGACACACACTGCAGCTCCACCGAGGTAAGTGCTGGGCTGGGCTCCTCCCCTGCTCAGGCAGGGCCCCCACCAGGACTTCGAGCTGGGGTGCTGGCGCACTTACCATGCTTGGTGTTCTGAGCAGTGCGCCGCCGCAAGCTGTGCTCCAGCAGCTGGTGGGTGCGGGTGGGGCTGGCTCCTGCCATCAG